TTTTTAACACTTTTTCTATTTATCTCTGTCTCTCTGTAAGTCTCTCTCTCTTTCTCTCACTCATTCATTGCATAAACTTCCTACTAAATCATTCATAAACATTTTATGCCTTCTTTACCTAGCTATCTCTCTCTCTCACTCATTCATTGCATTACATTCCTACTCAGTTATTCAATAACATTTTATGCTTTTTGTCATTACACGTACACACATACACATTGCAACATTTCATATAACAATCACTTACCTTATTAAGTGAAATTGTTTTCCATTTTCCTTTAGTTGACCACGATCTTGGCCCCGTCTTTTTTGTTTTAACTGATGGTGACTTTTGCGCTCTGCCTTCCGCTGTTAGCGGTAACGTCGCCGTAGTCTTCGTCGCTTGGATTCTGTAAACTTCTGTTATCTCCGGCGGCGTCGGCGTTGGCGACGACGACGACGCCGACGCCGATGTCAACGCGATTGTCTTCTNCGCCGCCGCTCTTNCAGTCACCGCTAGCGGTGACGTCGCCGTTGTCCTTGTAACGATCTTCTGATTCGTAATGGTTGTCGGCGTTGGCGACGGCGACGACGACGACGACGACGATGCCGCCGTTCTTTCAGTCACCGCTAGCGGTGACGTCGCCGTTGTNCTTGTAATTTTTTTTGGTTCCTTCTTNGTCGGCGGCGTTGGCGTCGGCGTCAACGGCAGCGTCGGTGCCGTCGACGTCGTTGCCACTGCCGCCGCTGCCAACTTACGTCCCAATCTTGTTGGGTCACTTCGTGCTGAAAGAAATAAATCGAAATATTAATATANAANAAAAATAAGAACATATAATTCATAAAGCACATATCTTACGNGCTAAGTTAATAAAAAACTATNNAAAACCGAGAATTGTACTTACATTTCGACATGGTCACNATCCTCCAACGGCCTACAAACAAATGAGCGATACCAACCGTTCGTTCACAGACTTTGTAAACAAAACTCGCGATTCGCTGAACAATGTGAGGGGAGAACGGGCAGGGGAAATCATTCTCCTCCTG